GAGACTGAAGGGCCCTCAAGCTAGCAACCAGCAAACAAAAGCATTTCCAAATGGTTCAGCTTAAATGATTCTACAAGCATGCAGTGGTGTAGGAGGGCTTCAATGTGAAACAGATGTGTGGTAATTTTACGCACACATAGACATGCATGCACGCACACACACACACACACACACCCACACACACACACACACACGCACACACACACAAGGATGTCAGACTGCCAGACTGTGTGCACACACAGATGCGTGTGAGTGTGATCGTTGTGTAACAGTCAGCACCAGTCGGCAGAGTCAAATGTCACATTCTTCTGCAGTCCAGTCCAGTTCTTCAGTATCACATAATGACATGTTGATGGTGCCCCCATGGTTTTCTCGACGCATAAATGCACAAGTATTTCCCCTTTTCTCTGTGACAGGATACCAAAAATACATAGGAAAGTATAAACCCACAAACACACACAGTGATATGTACAAAGAAACTGACAGAGAGAGAGACAGTGCAGATGGCTGAAAATTGGAGGGAAGAAAAACTTGTCTGTATGACTGATTCAGGCAGGAAACCCATTTCTCTAACAACGCTAAAACAAACCAGATTCTGTTTTGGCACAGGAACATCCTGCTCTTCCTGTTCTTCTCTTTGTGGTTCTTTTTTATGACTGAATGTTTTTTATGGATTCAACCATGTTGTGGCCCCATTGTGCAAACTGACTTTTGGGTTTCTGTAGTTACATAAGGAAAACATTGATTACAATCATATGTTTCATTCTAGCTCAAAGAAAAAAGGTTGTCTCAAAGCACATAAGTAGTCAAACAGATGACTAAATTGTACATTGTGATCTTTCTAACTAACAGCTTTATTTTTTGACACCCACAGTTTAAATAATGAGTTTTCTCATAAATTCGTTTGTCATTCTAGATCTTCAATAAGATAGCGGACAACGCTAGTTTTGTGCTCCAGATTGACAACGCCCGTCTCGCTGCTGACGACTTCAAAGTCAAGTAAGTGATTTTGCTTTTCTTCTTTTATATGTTTGTATCTGGAACCTCAGCTGAGCCATTTTGTAACTTGAATCTACACAGCACAGTGTTGATATTTTCTTGCTTTATTTCCTAACTTTTTATTTGTCACATGTTCATAATAAATCTGTCCTGTTCTATTGTATTTTGAATATGGCCTGACAGTGTCTGTAATGGAGCTTGTGTCTGTGCATTCCTACAGGTATGACAATGAGATGGCCATCCGCCAGTCTGTGGAGGCTGACATTGCTGGGCTGAAGAAAGTCATCGACGACACCAACATGACCAGGATGAACATCGAGAGTGAGATTGAAGCTGTGAAGGAGGAGCTCCTCTTCCTGAAGAAAAACCATGAAAATGTAAGTTTAGAGCACATCCAGAACAGTAATCTCACTGTGCTATACGCTACAAGTGTGTAGGTTTGTTCATTTCTCTCTTTTTGTCAATTCAACAGGAGGTGATGGAGCTGAGAAATCAGATCTCCCAGTCAGGCGTGCAAGTGGATGTAGACGCTCCCAAAGGTCAGGACCTGTCCCAGATCATGGAGGACATGAGAGCCAACTATGAGAAGATGGCTGTGAAGAACGCAGACGACCTCAAACGATGGCATGAAAATCAGGTAATGCAGTGTTAAAGAGGTTTAAGCATGAAAATAAATACACTTTCAAAGTGTCTTGTTTGGTTGAACATCTTTGTCCTGTGTTGCTGTCAGATGGCAGATGTGCAGGTGCAGGTATCACAGAACACAGAAGCTCTCCAGGGGGCTCAGGTGGAGATGAGCGACTTATCGAGACAGATACAGACCCTGGAAATTGAGCTTGCATCTCAACAGAGTTTGGTAAGCATTAAAAAAATCTTTTTCTATTTCATTGCTAATATTGTACGGTCTACTATATACTTAAAGACCCTGACCATTGCATAATACCTACAATAATACCAAAACAATAATTTGATCAAGTTTGATTTTTACCTGTGTTTTTCATAAATTAGAATTGCTTGTTTTTTTTGTTTGTTTGTTTTAGTTTTTTACAACGTTCTCATTCCTTTTTTAAAATCCTTTATCAGAAAGCGTCTTTAGAGGACACACTACGCAACACAGAGCTACGTAACAACATGGAAATGGAGAAGTACAATGCCATCATCGTCCGCCTGGAGGAGGAGCTGACCAACTTGCGCGCAAACATACAGCAACAGACCCAAGAATACGAAGCGCTGCTCAACATGAAGATGAAACTCGAGGCTGAGATCAGCACTTACAAGACTCTGCTGGATGGTGGAGACTTCAAGTAAGAGTTAAAAAGATGTGGAGAAGAAAAAAACAGTTCAAGGCGAGATGATGATGATTGTGGAGGTGAATAACTCGTTTCTTGTTACTTGTTCTCATGGTTTGCATGGTCAGGTATAACTACATCATGTACTGAGGCAGTAGATCTGGTCGGCAGTGCTCACACGACCAGTTCAACAGGAATGTTTTGAAAGTTAAAATGATTCATTTGTGTTTTTTACAGGCTCCAGGATGCTCTGGATGAGCTGGCAGCCACAAGTTAATTTGGAAAAAAATCCTCACAAGAATGAAAGCAAAGCTGCCACAACTTTGAATTATGAAAAGAAAAAAAAAAGTCCAGCTGGTCCAATCAGCGAACACAATTTTTGCACCATTTGCTATGTATACCAGAAGTGATTGAAGCTATTCTGAATAAAGGCATTCCTCCACACCACAATGAAACAGACAGGGCAGTTTCAAAAGCAACCATGGCCTGGCAGCAAACCAGAAATGAATAAAACCACTTGTTTTTCCACAGTCACGGCTTTGTGCATTCGTTATTGTTGGATAATGCATGTTCTGTTTTGTAACAGCCCTCACTGACTAAAGAACAAAGTGTGAAAGAGGTACAGAATTTTGACAAATAAATGACTGGATCATTTTTGTTTGCCAAAAAAAAAAAAAATCATACCCCGTGAAGAATGGCTGAAAAATTTAATTATTTTATATTTGCCTGGATTTTGGAAAGTACTGTTAGTATAATTGCTTGCTGAATTTCAGAAAGTTTTGATAGAATTAAAGCCACAGTTTAAAGCAACACCCTGCTAAAGTCCCTTATGCACACTCTCAGCTTAAAGAGTCATTAACTGCTGTTTGGCCATTAGAGGGAAGAAAAACTCCAACACAAGCCAGATGCCAAATTAATATTGTGTAGATGACTCATATACCAACATGTGGGTGTAACTTTAGAGGATTTTAAATTGTATAATCAACATAAAATCGACACTAGATATCTCTTAGTTATTCAAGCAGCTTCCATCAGTTAGATTTACACTAAACTACTTTTGAACATGAATCAATTACACTGGATAGCTTTGAATTCAATCCTGGCTCCACAAAATGTTGTTCCTATACAACTGAACTACATTCTCAATTACATTTAGAAAGAAACTTCAAACTTAAATCAAACCTTCAACCAGAAGACAGGGGTTCACATCCCGTGTGAGACAATTATTTTTAAGTCCCACTTCCACTTATTTATTTTTGATTTTATTTTCACCCACTGTTTGATTACGTTTAGGGACAAAAACTACCTGGTTAGGGTTAGGAAAAGTGACACTTTTTCAAAAATTATTTGTTCGGAACTTGGTTAAGCTTAGGCACATAGGTTTGAAAATGTTTCCAGACATTAATCAGGCAAATTGTTTGGTACAAAGAAAGACCATCTTTATTAGGGGTTGACAGTAACTCAGCAAGACTCATAAATACATGCCAAACATTGTTTACGCAGAATGGGTAGACTGATGCTTAAAATGTCCAAGGGCCAAAACCGCAGTTTGCATATGTAGATTAATCTGCCAGGAAATACTGCAAAATACACAAATTATACAGAAAACATCAAACATAGCAAGGAGGAAAGGTAAACATTAATAATAAATGATCTCAATAACAAATTTACTTAAGAGCCATCCTGGTAGAATATATAAATACAGCTGCCATCTAAGCCTCCAGAATCAATGCAGCACTCATGTATACATATATAAATGAACACAATCTTCAGTACACAGAGGTAAATGAACCTGGTAATGTGTGTGTATATTCATGCGCCATGCCGTCTGGAGGTGGACAAGAAACCTTAGTGGATTATTGTTTAGTGAAAATGTGGGTTACAATCTAATAAATGTATAAATACAGTGTAAGAAGTCACATGAAAATGTTAGACAGCAGTTCATCAGTCAGTCCTTTAGGAACCAATGAGGGAAGAGTCCCTGTGTCTAAATTCAATAGGTTTGGGAAAATATCTTGATTTGGGTTAAAGTACAAAACCTTTGTCAAGATATGTGGAGCTTTTCGTCCCCCTTCTGGGTTATCAGGGTGACGAATCCTGATCCTGATCTGAAAAGGAGCGACAGTAAAACAATGAAATAAATGGCAAAAATGTGTTGATTTGAAACCTATTTGGGATATTTTGCAAACTAATGTAGTGAGGCAAGAAAAAAAAGATTCCCTCAAAACATGCAGTTTAGTCGGATAGGAATTTTTTTGGAGACATGGTCATTGGATACTGTGAAGTTAACAAAAAAAAACATTGTCATAAAACTATAAAGCTCACTATAAATGAATTATTTATATATCTGTACAGTGACGCTTTGGCACTGGAGCCAGTAGTTTTACTGGAACTCATTTTAATATTTTTTTTTTCTAGAAATTCACAGTTTCATCACTCATTTCTGAGGTGGGCTAAGATTTTAAAGAAACTATGAAATGAGTTTCTTGGGGGGAAAAAAAAACAATTTGGGGGGAATTTGCAATAAGAAGAGAAATTCATGAACACGCAGACAGAGTTGTACCTACTTCGGTGAAACGGTACAAACCTTAAATTCACCTTAAAGGAAACATCAGGCCTTAAAGTGAGCAGATGTGGGTCAGTAAGTAAACAAGGGAGGAGACACAAGGTTCGTGAACGCCAATGCGCGCTCCCGACGTTAAACCGTTGACGCCTTCATCCGGGAACTACTACGAACTTGCTCTCCAACATGTCGGCGGCAGGTGAGGTTTATGTGGGTGAACGATCCGGGTCGGTCGGTGGGAATTTCAGCGGGTTATACCGCAATATGATTTAACACATGAAGTTTGAGGATTGCTATTTGTTCGGTTTATCAATCCGCGTCGTTGTCTCGTGTGTATAAATGCCTTTCTCGGCTGTTTTGGCCCGGTAAAGACGTCACTGCTACAGGAAGGCGAATGAACGAAGCTACGACTTGCACAAATCTGAACATTTTAACCTACGAATTACACGCGAGTTTCCCCAGTAAAGATCGTTACTACGGCGTTTAGTGGCTCTGCTTTTGAGTTTCTACAGTATTGCGTGTTTTGAACATTGGGTGACACGTTATGAAATGTTCCCAACTGCGCGCAGTGCTGGCACATTGTATGTCCGTAGCGGAGCTCGCCGTGGCGCTCAGATAAGCGCCGGGCGCAAGCGCGATTTGTGGAGGAGGGGTTGGGCCGAGGAGTCCGGGCTGCCCGAGGAGTCTCCCCACGTGTGCAGCGTGGCTCCCCGGTATCGGTGTTTGATGAAACGGGGCAGCTGGGCCCGTCCGGTCGCATCCCGAACACTTCCCTGGCAGCTTCACAACTTTGAGCTGTCTTTTCCAGCCGGCTGTCTTCCTCCGTCGATGGCGCACTTGGATCCTGGCGCTGCGACGTGCACTAGGCCCTAAAACCTAGCCAGCTAAGCAGGGATACTTCCCCCGTCAGCAGTCCTCTGCTGACTAAGCCCGCATAGGCACAAAGACAAAAGCGATCAGCGTAGATGGCAAATCAACAACCTGTATGGTTAGCCTAACTGCTGGTTCTCGCTGCTCTTGTGCCATTGTAGCTTTAGCTAGAAGTCAGCTCTGCCAAAACTTGATGTTACGCAGCTCTTAGCTCGCTAATGTCACATTAGCCCCGAGAAAGCTAACGCAGCCAGTCCCTTACTAGCTGATTCTCCAGAGGACAAGCAGTTAAGGCCAGTTAGTTGGGCCTGTTAATTGCAAACAATGACTTAGCATTATGTCCTGGGAAAGAGTTGTAAACAGTGTGTGTTGCTCCCTGCATGTGTGCAGGTTTTGTAACGATGTGTGTAAAGAATGTCCTGACAGCTGGGATTCTCACAATAAAGCTCACAGCCAGCTTTGTCGCTCCCCTTTTTCTGCCTCAGACCAAAACAACTCAGACCTGCTCTGTGAGCTGTGTGAAGCCCCCTGGGTGAGCTGGTGGTGACTGTTGGCAAACAGACACTATGAGAAACAATCTGCAATGGACACATCGATACAAACTCCTCAAAACATGTAGTTTGGTGGCTCGAATGGGTCACACATCTAACCAGATTCTTGGAAGCGAGCAAACGGAGGCAAATCTTTCCTGACATGGTGCATAGTGGCAGTTGGACAGGCAAACCACTCCCTGTGTGTCTACTTTCCAATAGGAAAATAAGTCAGGGTTTTTGCTATCACACACACATACACAGTGTGCCCCCTTATCTGACTTGGCTGGATGACATCTCACTACCCTACCCTGCCAGTAGTGTTTGTCAGGACAGACAACCAGCTGTCTGCATGAGTGGAGACACATTTAAAACTCTTTTGAAAGTCCAAATATCATACACCTTTTGCAACATCTGCAGTTCTTCCCAAACCCACTGTGTGTGTGTGTGTGGTTTAAAAAAAACATCCTAGACCGATGTCCATATGGGCAATGAACCCATGGCCCAGTATGTTCCTTTCAGTGGCTGACCATCTACTTTGTTTATCTTCCTTCTAGCTAAGAAGAAGAATAAGAAGGGGAAGACCCTCACTCTTACTGACTTCCTAGCAGAGGACAGTGGAGGCAGCAGCGCGCCCCCTAGCTACCCGACCAAGACCACAAGCTGGGCTGATGAGACTGATGACCTGGACGGAGATGGTGAGCACACACTGGAATCCACACGCCTTACTGTTGTTTAAAACCCGCATTCAAATGCAGCACAGTCAAGTAAAATAAAGGTTTTAGAAGTCTGAAATTGGGTTTTGTACTTCATTTAGAATTATGCCTATCTAACCTTTTTACAACAAGATCAAAAAGCAGTCACTACAATGTATTGCTGTGTAGTTCTACCTTAACATCCCCCTTTAACTACAAAATCAAAAACTCCAATTTGGAAGCCAACTTGAGTGTTTAACTGCATTATTCACATATGAAAGATGAGGCTACTGATATTTTTGCAGTAACGAAATAGTCAATGTGATTCCAAAGAAAAGGGATTCAGGTTAGCTCTGTAGCTGTTGACCTTGTAATTACAGAGCTATTGATTTACACACGTTTTAAAAGAGTCCTCCACAGAGAGGAACTTGTTAGTCGAGAGCATGATCCCCATCTCACACACCAATCGTATGCCACTGATCTATTACTTTAGATGTTCTGAAAAATAATTGCAAATATATGTTTGAACTTTGTAGTAATATCTATAGAATACCTTTTTTAATGCTGTCTTTCAGATGAGTAACCAGAAATGAAAGTACATTGAAAAATACTGTCAGACCGGTATTGTTATCAGCATATGCAGTCTAATGCGTGGCTAAGTGTAAAATAAGCTCCTGGATCTCTGAAGTGTCAATGTGCACTGGAAAAGTGGTATTTCCTCTATAGCCTTATTTTTATTGACGTGAGTAAGTGGAAGTAAAGGTTATTCAACCATAGAGATAACATAACACCAGCCTTTAAAGTTCAAATGTATCTGGCCGCTAATATGAGGACGACATGTTGTCGTAATGCTTACTAAGCTGTTAACGAGCAATTTAAGTGCTCATTATTGCAGTCCATGAATATGATGCATACACTAAGTGAAACGGATCAGTTCCATCACCTGAGACAAAAGCAGGAAGTGGAATGGAAGCAAAGTGTATTTCCTCAAGATGCAGATACCAACTCTCCTCTAGCTCCAAAACCACAGCAAACAAGCAGCTAACAACAGCTAACTCACTCACAGTGTCACCTGTGTGACAAGACAGTGTCCCTGCAGAAGGATTGAACAGAAATGTTTGCATTTTATATTGGAAAGACATTTACACAGTTGAAAAGCCTGGTTTTACTGGGATGCTAGAAAAAAATCAATCCAGAAAAAGATGTTTTGGGCACAAAGGGTTTTACATACTGTAAACATTGTTTTTACATACTCTAAATGTTGTTTTTACAAAGTTTACAGAATGTAAAAGGATAATAGTTGCTAATTACTGGGGGTATAGCTTTACCAAAATGTACAGTCATTTTATTTTTGACTTGAGTTTGTGTGAACAGGAAAAAGGATAGAAATCATCACCATTAAACTGAAAAGGGTTTAAAATCTTGGGTATATCACCCAGTGCTATGTTTAAGTACTACAGCAAAACTGCTGTTCCCTTCTGTGAAACTGTTTGGCCTAAGGTCCGTTTAATTTTTTTTAATGTGAATTCTGAACCTCTTCTCATTTTATGTTGGATATGGTATGACATTGGATCCCAGTTTGAGGACTATGTCTCCGTAAAGCTATAATTAAACACTTTTGAAAGGAATTCACCAACTCACTTATACAGACTTGAGATAGTTCTTTTAAATATTAAATGGAGGTTGAATATTATCAATGGAGCTCCTGATGTTAAATTGACATAACCAACCATGGGAAAGAGTTTCTTATGGACTCTGTCTTCCTTTTGGTCCTTATACAACTTTGTCATATCTCTGTGCATGCTGGGTATACATATGTTTTATTGTTCTACAATTTCCTTGTTGACAGTTGATATTTTGTTGGGTTTTTTTGTTGTTGTTGTTGTAAAGTCGTTGTTGCCTTTTCCTTTTTTGCTGTGCTTTTTAAAAACTGTTTATACAAGGATTTCAGGAGCTTATGACCCAAGTATCAAAGAGAAAATCATTGACAAAGTAACTTGAAGGAAGTTTGATGTTGGTTTTTGTTTAAAATGTTCCTTCTGCTTGTCTCCTCAGTCTCTACTTCGTGGCACACAGAGGAAGACACGTACAGGCAGCCACCCATCGACCGCTCCATCCTGCCCACAGCCCCTCGATCAGCCCGTGAGCCCAACATTGACCGGTCCAGACTGCCCCGCAGCCCGCCTTACACGGCCTTCCTGGGCAACTTGCCCTATGATGTCACTGAGGACTCTATCAAAGACTTCTTCCGCGGCTTGGCAGTAGGTGTTGCAAACGCACAGTGTAGGACATGTAAAAATGTCCTAGAACACAGTTACATACAAGTCTTTGTTTTGCAAAGCAACACAAACAGTGAAACTCAAGTGACAGTTTCAGTTGCAGTTCAAATTCTCACTCTCGTCATTATCCAGTTACAGGTGTAATACAAATTTTGCATCTAAAGTTTTTTGGTCCACAGTGATGTTTACACACTGCAGGAAGAATGAATTTGCTTAGTAATAAAAAAAACAGGACACACAGGTCAGCTTTGTTTTTATCTCCCGTTGTTTCTGTAAACTGATCTTTAAGTTAGCCATAACGCAAGGTGATAAAAGGAATCTTTTGTATCAGGTGCCACATGTACCCTGTCTGAGTCCTGTTTTTGTAATTGGAAAACAGTTCCAAGTTCATGAAACTTAATAAACTACGTATGCAGCATCCTAGGGATATCTGAGACACGTACATGTGTTTTTTTGCTACAATATAGGTAAAGAAATCACATCTATACAGCCCTCATATGGCTGTGTAGGAGCCATAGTGTCAAATATTTACAACAATGAAAGGCAACTAAAGATAGTAAGATAGCTAGCCGCAGACACTACGATGATTTCAGACTGAAGTTACCTGCAGCCGTGCCAGTTACGGTTCTGACCTGGACATTTTTAACACAGTGGCAATTAGTGAGCAGAAATGTTTGCTATTTATATGTTTGGCAAGATCACGACAGATAACTTATCTGACACTTCCTCCTTTCCAAAGTCCATGCATTGCTTCTTGAATATCATTTACATACAATGCTTTGCTGAACTTGAGTCAGGTGTTTCTGCAGTCTTGGCTTTAATTAAGGCATTACCTGTTTTAAATGTTGCTCTGTCACCATCTTTTGTTTCCAGATCAGTGCAGTGCGTCTGCCTCGTGAGCCCAGTAACCCAGAGAGGCTGAAGGGCTTTGGCTATGCTGAATTTGACGATGTTGAATCCCTCCTGAGGGCCCTTAGTCTCAATGAGGAGGTGAGAGGAACGAAACTTAGTTTGACTAGTTTCGTAGTTGTTTTGCACAGTAATGCATGCGGTAAAGCTGTCTTTATTAAAAATGTCTAAAATGGATAAATTACTTGAGAATCAATAAATATTTGTCTATTCTTCATGCTAACAGAACCTGGGGAATCGAAGGATTCGTGTGGATATTGCAGACCAGTCTAATGATAAAGGTACATAGTAACTTTTATTTTGCTTTTTCTACACATTTTCAAAGACTCCTCTCTGCTGTCTAGTTACTCACTATTTAGTCTACACCATTTAAGCTAATGCATTGCATAACTACAACATCTCTGCTTCTTCACATGTCAGAGAGAGACAGTGGACTTATGGGAGGCAGAGACAGGGGGGGACGGATGGCAGACATGGGTCCTGACAAGACCGACAGCGACTGGAGAGCTCGGCCAAGTGCGGATGCTGATGATGGACCTCCCAGGAGAGATGATGCCTTTGGAGAGAGTGAGTCAGAAATTGCAATGCTGAAGCATCCATAAAGATGACATGTTGGAAAACTTCTAAAAAGAAGTTTTGTGTCTAATAAGACTTTTTCTTTCAAAGAATTCATATACATTGTTAGAAATTCTTTAAATGACATCTTTCATTTGTGTCACTCTCAATCTAACTGCTGTAAAACGAATTATTTTTTCATGTCCTGAAAAATACTAGTTGGATGAATTCATTGAGTCCTTCAGACTAGCAGTACTCGGGCAGAAGAATTCATCATTGTCATCCTGTTGCAGGATCACGGGACCGTTTTGAGTCCGATCGCTACAGAGATGGGCCACGACGGGACAATGATCGTTACGAGGGAGGGAGAGACCGCTACCGGGATCGCTATGATGACAGGGACCGCAGGGATCGCTATGACGACAGGGACCGCAGAGACTACGATAGAGGAGGTGAGTAACTGTACTTGTTTAGAGTCTGTATTCTCAACAGTACAATATTTTATTTTTATTTTTTTAAACATTTCCATTTTTGTAGACTCTTTGGTTTACATGACCTCCTGGTTGCCTCACTGCAACTTTGGTTGTGTTTTTGGTTGCTTTTCCCGTTTACAGCATCATCTCTTCAGATTTCTTTTCTTGTCTCTTGTCTCCCTGCTATCATTCTAGGTTTTGACTCCCGTGGTGGTGGAGGAGGTCGTCGTGCCTTTGGCAGTGGCTTCCGTCGTGATTATGACGACAGTCGGGGTAGCAATGATCGTTATGGGGACCGGGATCGTTATGGCGAACGTGATGACCGGTACGAGAGGCGGGATGAGAGACGTGAGGACAGAGGTGAGATAACTGCACTGATTCATCGTTATTTATTAACAGATCATCTGAAGCAATTCTGAGCTATATTTACACTAATCATGTTAATGGAATGTACAGAAGTCATGTTTGGCGTTACAGATCTTGGCATATTTTTCACACTCTTCCAAGGATCTGTAGTTAAGCTTTTAAAATCAAAGAAGTGACTTTGATTTCATCTCCCGACATTTAGAGCTAGACCTCTTTGTAATAGTGTTCTGCTTTCTTGCGCCCACCCCAGCTCCTCAGCAAAGACCCAAGTTGAACCTGAAGCCCCGTAGCGTACCCAAGGAGGAGGAAGGTACCAGCAGCGGTGGCGGTGGAACTTCCCCAGCTGCTGCTCCTAGCTCCGGCAGCAGTAGGGCCTCCTCCATCTTTGGCGGAGCAAAGCCGGTTGACACAGCAGCGAAGGAGAGGGAGGTAGAGGAGAGGCTGAAGAAAGAAGAAGAAAGACTGCAGAGGCAGCTGGAAGAGGACAAAGGCCGAGGACCTGAAAGAAAGATGAGAGACAGGTTAGGGGGTTGCTACTAACAGTTGCAAGTTGTAGTTGTATGCAAAATTACATATTTTGTTAATTTTTGAAGTAATGCAGAAACTCAAGAATAAAAATTAAGCTATTATCAAATGCTAATGCACTGTTACTTTTTATTGCATTAACTAATCGGTAATTTGGCATGTGTGAATGTTTGGTACAAAGCCAGTACTTAGGTGACTTAATCCCCTTTTGACTCATATACAGCTTATACAAGGTTATTCTTGCTTTAGGAATTGTCTCCCCCTCTTCCTTGCAGCTCAGTTTAAATTCTGAGATGTTTGTAGCATGTTTAAAAATCTCCCTTTAGATTATTTATGTTCAAGTCAGTGCTTTCATATGCCGAGCAATTATTCAGAAACAGAACATTTTCACAGTTCATGTTAATAATGCAGCTCAAGTACAGTTTTTAGATTAATATGAAATATTTTGAGACATATGGAGGTTGTTCATTTTTTCTGTTTTCTTCAGGGACCCAAGCTGGCGCAATGAGGAACCTCCGGCTGAGCGATCCCGTACAGGAAGTGAGTCTTCACAGCAAGGAAGCAGCTCTGGAAGAGGTAAAACACTTGTGCACTTCATTCTGGTGGAGTTGGATGTCAGGAATCTGCGAAAGTTTAATTTCCACTCAATTGTGTATTTTTTGTGTGTGTGTGTGTGTCTTTTTATGTAAGCCTGTCATGAATGCTCGGTTTTTACACAGGACCTCTGTTCTTAATGTCTGAGACTCCCTCGGGTCTGAAATGCCGCCTTGTTGTGTACTCGGAGCAACTTTAAAATGTCTTCAGTGTTTATTGAAACACATTTTCGTCCACCAGGGTCACGGTGTCAAGATAACGAGCGCTCTGGGGAGAATGAGGTCTTCAGTGGGAGAGAAAGTAGCTCCACTTCTCCTGGGCCCTCACCACGGCCCTCCTCCACCAGCTCCTCCAAAGAGCCACTGAAGGTGATGCCTGCACCTCCTCCCAAGGAGAACGCATGGGCCAAGAGAAGTGCAGTCAGCACGGGCTCTAACGAGGGCGATGGACGAGCTCCAGTGTCACCGGTCTCCCCGAGTGGTTCAGCTCCTCCCAAGTTCAGGTGAGAGTCACAACTTAGACATAACGAATGTTCCTTTCAGGAATATGACGTTCAGAAAAGGTCAGTTTACAATATGTTGCTCTTCTAGCACAAATAGATGAGCAAAACTTCTGTTGTCAGAATTTTCCATCATTGGCTCGTGGAAATGTAAACGTCAATATTCTTATAACTTTCCCTGACTTTTTTGTTTTTGATTTTTTTCTTTAGCCCCTCAAGTTCTGCAGATGAGAGAGGATCTGGAAAGGGTAAGGCCTGCGTGCCTGGATGCTAAAGGCAATGGGGATTTCACCTGAACCTTTACTACATACTACAAACGAAACTGAACAATTAGATTTTTTTTTTTTTTTTTTTTTTATAGAAGTAAATGAAACTGAGCAAGGAAGATCTTTTATGGAAACAAAAATGCATACATATGCAACAGGCTCTAGTAATGGAGCCTTTGAATCTCGATAAGACTGAAACTCTGTCGTTGCATTAGCAACCATCTGCAAAAAATGGTATGTTAGTGAACAACAAGATACATGATCTATTCTTGGATCTGTGACCTGTGATCTGTTACCTAATCATGTTCCATGTGCTGGATGTTATAGGGCATGTTGGACAATGCTGTATTTAATCAGCCTCAGTTGCACTTGCTCATCTGTGTTTGAGCTTAAAACCAACATCAGTTTGCATGCATGTCCCCGGCTATTGGAGTCAAGATGCTGACAACGTGTGCTGTGTTGATATTGTAATCTGAGCATGTTAAACATCAGCATTGATTTGAAATTAATAGATGATGCTGATGGGGAAAAGTTCAATACTCAGCCTGTGTAGATTGTCCCTGAAAGTGTTTTCTGACTGCCTTCCTATAAAGTTGGGCATCACAGCCCAAAACACAATCTACACAGTGTCTTTGTTTTCCTGGAGACTTGTTTGAGAGCTTTGGTCGAGTGTGGCTGTACCTGCTTCAAGCTACTGAGGGCGTTTGCACACTTCATTATATCTTGTGGAGGTCTCCTTGCATGGGTTTATCTAAAATGGTCATTTAGATGATATATTGCCGTGCGAAATAAAGCCAATTTAATTTTGCACAAACCCTACAGTGTGCCTTGTGTCACTTTTGTAGGAGACATGCATTTCCACTTGGGTGTTGAGACCTTATCTTACCCATGCGAGGAGCTCTACTTAATGAATATACACAGCACCCCTGAACTATCTAAAGAGCACCCGTGTTTGATCACTCCTGAGCCTCAGCAGCGCCTCCACACCATTGTCTTGACATTTGCACAGTCTTTTTGAAGATTTCGTCTTGACACTTTTGACGCTGAATAGCTGTTATCAGTGATCTTTGAACTCCTGAGTGGTCCAGAAGAGGTGAGGTCAGCACGAGAGCCGAGACCTGGGTTGTTCAAGTTCATGAAAGGTGTAGAAACTTCACAAACAAACATCTGTCTGGCAGGAGTTTGTTATGAGCTTACCTTGGAGCTCAAAGTGTATATGCAAATACACCACAAGAAATCTCAGGTTCCGACTATTGCAATCTGTCTAAATGTGAGAACTATTTATCTCCATTATGGTCAGTGGTGTGTCAGGATAGCCCTTATTTTTCTAATTGTTTTGGAACCCTTTGGCGCGTTTTGCAAGCCAATGTCAAATTCCCAAGAAAGTGGTTCTGTTGTACGAGCTCGGCTTGCAATCAAGCGGTTGTGCACCTCTCATTTGGCCCTACATCAGTGACTAACACATTTTGAATCCAACCCAGTGGCTTTTTATGCTGCAGTGTGTTGTGAGTGTAGTCTACTGTACAAAGTCCAACAATCTCCCTTCACTCAACTGTCTGGCTTCTCCTTTAAGATGAGAACAAGGCTGACGGTGTGCGTCGGGACCGGGGGCCCCCACGGGCACGAGGGGGGCCTGCAGGGCCTGGAGCTGGGCGGGGCCGAGGAGAGGGGCCCAACAGAGACCGAAGAAAGGAGGCAGACAGGTCAGCCATCCAAAGCTAGCAACTCCGAAGTTCTTAATGAGACAGGGAGGACATTTCCTGGCCATCTGTAAAGAGTGGCCTATGCTCAGTTACACAACTCACTGCATCTAGCATCGTGGACACTGAACACTCCAGGATTTCTGGTGTACACATCAAAGCTTTACCTTCTCCACAGCAAATCGTCACAATCCCCACGAAACACAGGAAATGATCAGTGTCTGAGCTAAAACATCAAGCGGACAACATAAAATTAGAACCAACCAGCTTGTAGATATAAATTTTCAATTGATGAAGATCCACAGGAATTAAGGTATTTTGGTGTCTCTTTTTTTTTCTTTTTTTTTTCTTTTTTTCTTCTGTGTGTGTGTGTGTTTAAGGATTCACAGCAAGGGTAAGTTCTCCATTGCTGATACATTTTTAACCTCAGTGTTCATTTTGGTTGTAGAAGAGATAACAGAAGAGACCGAGACTCCAGACCACCTCCAGAGCCAAAGAAATACGAAGAAACCCCAACCCCCGTAAGTCCTCCACTGGATGACGATGAAATATGCATAAAATTGTGCAAAGTTTTTTGCATATGTATAGGGTATCCTGGGCATAGAACTGGTGCTGACCCTTTAAAATTTCATTTCTACAAACCCCTCTACATGCGTCAGTCAACTTTCCTGAGAAATTTGGTCTTTCTCACTCCTCTATGCTTTTTTTTTTTTTAGCATCCAGAGCTATTGCACTGATTCCTATGCTGTGTTTTTTTTTTCTTTTTCTTTTTCTACCTCTTCCAGAAGTTCAGCTCAGCCAGTAAGTACGCCGCTTTGCTAATGGACGGAGACCAAGGAGACGATGCAGAGGACATCGAATAGAGAGAAGATAACGAGACAAGGCCTGAGAGCGCAAGGAGAGGAGAATGACAAACGCAGGAAGAAAAAAAAAAAAAAAAATCTCACATAGCATATGAAAAATCTCCTCACATGGGAAGTGGCTCCTGGGAGGACATCGCTCCCTCCCTCCTTTCCTCCTACAAACCTGTCCTTTACTTTCAAACCACCCACCCATCCCTACTCCCCTGTCCCACCTTCAGGACTTTTCAGGTTCTAAAGAATAGTCACATACTGGACTTGTTTTAAATGGAAAAGAGGAATAGCAGACACATGGAAAAAAAATATGGATAACATTGAATTAATTGTAATAAATAAATGGAAAAAGTGGGGAAAAAAATGAATTTGTATATTTGTGGATCACAGGTGTGGTAAGGTGGGATCTAATGACAGAAGGTGTAGCCTAGTAAGTGGAACCTTTTTTTTATTTGTATCCATTTTTGACTTCTTATTCTTAGACAACTGCATAACGTCATTATTACAAGCCCTTTGTATTTGTTAGTAAATAATTTGGTATCATAAAATTGATCTCTTAGCAAATTTATTGATGAAATTTAGTCATGGAAATCCTGTCTTCCAAACACTAACAGTCATGAATGTTGAGACTTGGCTACTAATTTAATTTGCCAATCATGTATTCCAAAATAATAATTTGTGATTGAATTTGTTCTGAACTGAGCTGATTCATGCATTATGATAAGAAAACACTGTCTAATGCACAAACAAAATGCAGAAGTGATTTGTGTGTTGAAAGAAAAGCAGCAGCAGCCGCTGCACGATTCTGAGAGTCAAGTGCCATTACTATCATCCCCATCGTTGTACAGATGTCCCCCTATTTCTACACCTTCTGATGAAGTAATCATGTCAATTAAAGGCTCATAATGGTCTTGTTTCCAGCTGTGCTAAAGATTATCCGCAGCTGTTTAAATCATTCTCTCCTCCTCTCGTAAGGAATACAAATATATGGAGAAAATATAGACTTGCCTATAGTAGGTTGTGAGGACATCTGTGAGAGTACATGAACTTGTCTTCCCATTTGCAATAAATTGGGGTCATTATGTGCATTCAAATAGTATGTGGTCATTGTTTATGTAGGTGTTAGTGGCGTAACTCAGGCCCAAAACTTACCATAGGAAACACTCATGTTACGTCGGTGCTTAATAGTTTTACCAACAGGCGGATCCGCGTTGCCTTTACAAACCTGGGTAGGTCACACACACACACACCTTAGTGACGGTGTGGCATTTCACATTAGCCGTGAAACCTGTCATTTGCAGGATCATTAGACTTTCATGTGCAACAACAAAGTATTTTTCTCCGCAAACTGTTCTCCTGGTGTGGTCCGTAAGGCAGAAAATGTCCGTAGTGTTTCTTCAGTCTGGGTCTCCTGCTGAGAGCAAGTCTCCTGGTGGCAGCTGGTTAGGATCCTGCTGAGCTTTACATCCCCCCTCACACACACACACACACACAGAGGGTATGTATTTCGATATAAGATTGGGTTTCTCTGACCCTTAAAAGCAAGACATTTATACAGCGGACATCAGCATACTGACAGAACGCTGATCAAAAGCCACGGTTTGTGTGTTTAACCTCATACAATAATGAGTTTTTAATGTGTCATTTAGCAATTACACTCACTTTGTGGGTGCTGTGGTGAACAGAGCTGTGTGCGTTCACACTCAGTTTATACTAAATATTGCTGACCACTCTGGGAGCGTCATGCGTGTGGATGAGAAAAACCGATGCGGGCTATAAAATGTACAATAACTGTGTGGGTGACAGTTAAAATATAGAGCTACTTTAATATTTGTAATACAGTTTTGTGATGTTAGTCCACCTTCATAAGCCAAGTGAGAAGCATAGATGAGCATATAATTAGTAGAAAAGAAAATCTGGAGGGAAAATGGTTATATAAGTGTTGAAATCAGTATACAAGCACTCTTCACTCGCATATTTTAATTTTCTTTCACTCCACTATATTCTAATGCGACTACTTTACTCTCCCTACATTTATTGGACGCCTGTAGCTGCTAGTTACTGTATGGATTCAGATTTTATAAACAAAATGTTCTGCTCACAAAGTAAAAATATATATGTTATTGTGTCCAACAGTTTATAAAGCTGTTAATAGCTCCACCTTTACCAGTTACACAATTACAACAGTGCTTACACATGTATGCTGCACAATGAGCAATTTAGATGTTGTACGCCTTATTACACTGTAATAAATTACTGTAAAAAAAATCAAGCTAAGTTCTAACAGCAGTGTACTGCTTTTTGTAAAAGACAGTTAAATACTGTGAAGTCTTTTTTGGAGCCAAAGAAAAATAACAGCAGGACGACTGTAAAAATTGACAATGTGAATTAAAACAGTTTACAAATCACTGTTAAGACTAGCAACTTGATTTTGACAGCTAAGAATATATTAGGGAACTTTCTGGTGCCATGAGATAGGCCATGAGCTACTTTTATCCCCATTAAATGATTTTTTTAACTTGCTGGGGATAAACACTTATCCTCATTAAGTCCTAAAATATATTTAATAGATTACAATTAATCATGCATTGCTGCCTTTGAATAAATCTTCCCAATCCATAAAAATGTAACTTGCATTTAGATCCTAATTCTGCATCATAGATATGAAGCCACATTGTTATTTATGATGGAGGTCTGCAATTCATAACAGTGCAGGAGAAAAATATTGTAATTTACAGGTAGTTGCAGTTAAAGATCATGTAAACGTTGATTAATTTACATTAAAGTCGGAGTCTTACAGTTGAAGTCAGTTACAACTATTAACAAGTAAACTAGCGGCAAGTGTCTAATTTTACAGAAGCATGTGTTTGTGTAGTGCTCATAAATGCAGGATTTTTTCTCAGTAATGGAGCATTTTGTTATAGATCAGAGTCGTTCTTCACAGTGAACAGAGTGCAGCACCTTAGAGTTTTAACCCCCTACCCACCCATCACCAGCCCCCCTCCCATGTTGCTATGAGAATCAGCAGCTGGTCCACACAGGAGGGTCTCTCTGTTTTCCACTTAAAGCAACAACATGACTGGAGTTGGTGCCATTTGTGTCCCCAGGTGACGTATTAGGTGAAATTTCCCATAATCACGTACTTATTTAATGCATTCATAACCTGACAGGGCCATCTGCATGTGATGTCTTCACCTCACTGCTGAAAATCCCCCGTTCAAAGTCATGGTTTGCCGCCTAAATTAGCTCCCAGGCGTGGATTTGTGTCGCATTTAAACCAAAGGCTGCTTTGTATCGTCTAACCAGAGGCTAAAAACATGATTTTAGAAAGAGCTTATTGTTGGAGATTTTCCCCTCGCAACCCTAAAAACCTCCAGCTTAAAGCAGCATTTTGTCTGGGGGACCCAGTTTGAGGAAATACAGTTGTGTGTGTGTTACAGAGAGAGAGAGAGAGGGAGCTGTGGTCTGAAGGAATTTAATGGGTAGGGGAGTGCAGATCTAAGATTTAAGTACAGAGCATATCATTGTTGAAATTTCAGTGGAGGGAAAGCAGCATGAAACCGAGGGGATAAAGGGAGGACATTAAGGATGTCATGTGTCCCATCAAAGAGGACAGTGGAGTTGATTGCAAGACATGCAGAGATATCAAAAGTGAAAAGATAAAAAATTAAGCAGAGATTTTAATTGGCAAAAAAATGTTGAGGTTTAACCGCTCATGCTATTCAAGAAACACCCAGGCAAGCAGATAGTTAAAAGTCTCTTCCTTTCCAACGAGCTGAGAGGAGGGAGAAGTGGGATCGCTGCTGTCGAGCCTACAGTGCCTTCTCATGTGCAAAGTTGCAGGGACTGGAGGGATGACGTGTGTGAAAGAAGTTCTATCTAATCACTCCCCCATGAGGAGGAAGAGCGTGAGAGGGGCTGAAATGAAGCCAAAGGAACAGGGGAAGGGCTTGACATCAACAAGCCAAAACAGCTGCCCCCTTCTCCCCCATGGAGAGACAGCAAGGGGAGCCTGATGGAGCGAGAGAGAAGGGGGGGGGAGAGACTGGAGGGTCTGTAAGTGCAGAGCAGGAGAGCAGAGAGTACAAGACATTTGAGGGTCTGTAGAGGCTGAAGAGAAGAGAAGGAGGTATTGGCAAGTGGAAAGGGGGAAGTGGAGGGGGGAGAGAGAGAGGTGGTGAGTGCATGCTTGCATGCTTTCAGAGTGAGGATAGCCAGAGTGCAAGGGACAGGGAAGAGTGCAGGAGGAGGGAGCGAAGGGTCGGCTCTTGGTGACACCTTCTTGGAGGGGAGAAAGAGGGGTTGTAAGAGGAGAGGGGGGGAAAAAGTCATCTGGGGTGGATTTCAGGGCAGGACGAGCTGTCAGAGCGAAGGGCAGAAGTGTGAGGAGTCGCTGCGAGGGAAGAAGGGAAAATGTTAAGAGGAAAAGAAGACATAAGATACAAAATATGAAGCGTTGAGAGGTGGAAAAAAGGAGAGGGAGCTTCTAGAGCGAAGCACTTGACTCAAAGGAGCGGCTGAGTGTTGAGGAAATTAAAGGTGAAAGAGGTGCAAGTATGGGGTGCGTTCACAGTACGAGCACTGGCAGGATAAAGAAGCATGGACCTGAAACTGCCGCCGGAGGAATCCCCGTGAAGGCAGACCCCGAGCTGCATCCTGAAATCCTTCAACTCGCTGAGGTAGGAGAATAACTGCTCTTTAGGGGATTGTAAATATGCTGGTTGTACATAAAAGACATGATCACACAATATGCTGATTCCATTAGCAGCTGCAGCAAAACAGCATTGATAGTCTGAGGATGAACAGAAAGTAAAAAGAAAATCATTACAGATCACCTGTTCTGCTGTTAAAATGAGTTTAAAACAGTTTGTCACTTTAGCAACATCCCTACAGCTGCTATGATGTGCACAATCATTGCAATGTTTGTCATGTGACTCAGCAGGAGAACTTTTAATTGTCATACATTACACTCTTCACATGCTAGTTGTGGAGAACGACCAAAGGAATCTGGAGAATCACCGCAATGTTTCCAAATTAGATGAAGCCTGGACACCAAAGCAGTGCTGGCTCTCTTATGAAATATTCCTCCTCTCTGTGTTTTTGTCAACATTAACACGTCACAGCGGACATGCGTGCATACTCAAAGGTGTTTTGCAGTCCTCTTTTTAGAAAGGAAGCATGAGTGCTGCCAATTTTTAATTTGAGCCACCCTCAAAAGATTTCAGTGGCCTTATTTACACCGTATAACTTTTTTGTTTTTTAATGCATTCAAGGAAGTCAGAGGCACAGAAACGCAGTGCTGGATGATACACTTGATCACTGTTAATGATGTCTCTCGGGTGCCAAGGTTCAAGAGGAAGTGGTATAAGTTACTGTCTGGTTGCGACCCACCGCCAGCCTGTCTGCTGCCTCTATTTAGGAACATGTATGGATTTAGGAGAAGCCGCACTTCCACATACATGAAGCCTCTGGAGGACTTTTATAGAACCTAAAATAAAAGGTGCCTGTTGATTTAACTCCACACCAGAACGTGTGTGTTCTCACATGTCACAGTAAATCACACCGCGGCATGCTGCACGTCAGTGTAACAGAACAAAGAGAAGGAAGATTTAAGGCGACCCTGGCACTTTAATTCACAAAGTAATTAGAACTTCTCGTTTGTGTGGAGCATATGTGCAAAGTGTGTGTAGTTTCACATTGAACTCCTGGAACAAAAAAACATTAGTCAGATCACATGTGGCTTCAAATCCCCTAAAGCCCTGGTTGTGTGTATCAGTCTGAGTTTCTTTGTGTCCGTGTGTGTGTGTGTGTGTGTGTGTGTGTGTGTGTGTGGGTCTGACCATGCCAAATTATGATAACATTGTCCCAACTGAATGGGTGGACCAATGTAGTGGAGAGGAATGAAATATGTCATACATGCAAACAGTCCAGGACTTTCTTTATGTTGTTTGCAGTGTCTGTTTCTTTCCCTGTCTCTGTCTCTCACGCGCACACACACACACACACACACACACACACACACACACACAACCACACATTCATTCTCACACCTATTTTTAAGCATTTTCATGGCTGTTTGGAGGTGACAGCGCCT